GAGTTGAAGTCCACAAGTCTTAAAGTTGCCAAGGTTGGACACCCCTGTTGTAGATAATTTCCCATTTCTGCCACATTAATCTTTCAGGTTGGCAGTGATTTTTGGATGTGCATAGGCAGGGTTTCAGGGTCTCAAGGAATTCAGGGACCACCTGAAGTTCTAAACTCTTCTCTGGCATAAATGGGTCATTTGTCCTTCCAATGGTCTATCCATCATAGCTGTAATTCATCCATCTTGTTCTGAACAATCCCTTCTTCCCTGTGCCAGCGTTATATTATTCTCAAGAGAGCTACAGTACATCATCCCACAGTGTGTCCAAATTATGCTATTTTGAATCTGGTCCTTTGTGCTTTGAGTCAGCATCTAGACTCTACTGTTCTATTACTGTAGTTGCATGTAAATTTACAGAATGAGCCTTAACTTGGAATCTGCATCCTTTCCCTTTCGTTTCAGGATGACCCGGACATTAACATAGAATGTATGTCTGAGGAGAAGCATTCAAACAGCAAACTTTGCAATGTCAGCTACCCCTTCTTCCGAGCCAAAGCAAAGGTAACTAGAGATTCCTAAATGAAACTTGCCTATCAGCCTAGGGTTGAATAAGTGATTCCTTTTCTGCATTTTTAAAGAATCCTGCTTTTTACGCAGTTGCTGCTTCCCAGGACAGCTCACATCAATTAATATTTGGCTCACATTCTAGAGATATGGCAAGGAAAGAGAAGAGACAAAAGAGGCCGGTATTTCATGGCCAGAAATGTGACATTTATAATATCCATCTTAGGCCAAGCTGATTTTTTTGCTTGTAAAGAACAGTAATTGATGATTTTGGTCCTTTTGCTGATGGGTGATATATGTGCTATCCTTCAGCTGTCCCCTCACTGGATAGCTATCAGTAGAAACAAAGAAACAGGGTGGACGAAATAGCCTTTTGCAGCCGTGTCTTTTAAGGCTAATAGGAGAAGTACAGTTGGTTTCCATCTTGTCATGAAGTTTTTTGTTGCAGTGGACCCTGGATGAGAATAGGTTGACAGGAACAACGTCAAGTTTTATGAGAATCTCAAGAATCATCAGTCAGAGAAGGAAGGCAAATACTGATTCAAGGGGGCTCATACCAGAATCTACTTCTCACGTGCCTCCACATATTTCTCTAAGCGTTATTTTTCAGCAACATCTTCATGTACAAATATAAGATTGGATAATTTTTTGAGTAGCTGAGAAACCCTTGTTACTTTACTGAAAAACTTGCCTTCTTTCTATTTGTCCTGCTCAGAAAAAGGATGATGAACATAGGTTTGCGGTATCCTGTTAGATCTCTGCTAGGAAGCCAGGACCAAAAAACTCAATGACTAAAACTCATTGAGATAGATGTCTTTATAAATATCCATTATATTACATGGAAGCTTGGCAGAGGGTTTGTATGCTAGGAAGAACTACATGAGCTGAATCTGCGTGACCAAAGATAACTCCAGAGCATGAAATTAAAGACTGACTCTGTCCAGACATTGACTGAGTAATGCTGCTGAACACAGATTCCACACCACCTAATTGCCGTTGCTTTCCAGGCCAGAAGAGTTTGTTAAGAATTCCAGAACCATGAAAAACTGGCAGATTAATATTAGTTTTTCCAAATCTTTATTGCCAAATAAGAAAATAATAGGTTTGGCCAGGAGGTTTCAACTGCATTAAGATGGTCCAGCATCTTAAACAGTCTTTGGGCAGCCAGTTAAAAACTAGAAGACAAAGCTAAAAGATTTCTCCCTTAATCAAGCAATTTAATTTTTTTTAATCAAAGTTTTTTGAATGACTGTTGACAGTTTGGGTCCTAGTTTCATTTCCTTCTCATTAATGACTTTTTGGGGAGATGGACGAACACAAAGGTTGCCGAAAGTTTTAGTTGTCAGAAGTCTTACCAGATAAATAGTACTTTATCTTCTATGGCTTCTTTATGTTAAGGATCAATTAAAAGTTCTAACCTCCCAAAAGCCTAAACACAGATGAAATTTTAGTCCAGAATATGATAAACTGTTCCAGCAGTAGCATAACAAAGAATGCAGATGACTGTTTCGTGGCTATTTCCTTCTGAAATAAAATATAAACAAAGCAATAGTTTGAGGAACGGAAGCTGAAAAATCTGAGAACAGATTTTCAAAGTTCAGGGAATCAGATAAATTTATTACTCTAATGTTTCTGATATTTAGAATTTAAGTATTGATCTTTGGGGGTCAATACTGACTACCTGGGGCAACTCTGATTTAAATATTGTCCAGTCAAAATGTTGAATGGCAGGTTGCTATAATTCACGGGGAAATTGCGATAATTCCCCTGCTTCTAACTGCAGAGATGCCTTTCCTTCCCCCTTCTCCCATCTACTGACAAACAATTCCTCCTACAAGCTGGGCCCCAAAGCCATAGCTCGAAGCCCCTTGGAAGGCCTGGTCATGGTCTCTTCTATGGGACTCCATTAAAAGGGACTCATTCACATTCCATTTATTGCCCCTGTTTTGGAGAACTGGGGTTCTGCTACTGCTCTATTGATAAACCAGGATGGCTCAAGGGAGCAGGCTTTTAAAATTATTATTTTCAGCATCCAAGAGCTATACAACGTAGTGCCAAATTAAAACATTTAACTTTGGAACTTGGCTTTTTTATGTGGAGGGGGAAGACTTTTATTGAGATTTTAAGCATTGTGGAGAGAAATGAATCTCTTTTTTCATTGTTTGTTGTTGTTTCATTTCTGCTGAAAGTCAACTGGAAATAGCACCACCAACTTTCAGCACTTTGCAGGAATTTTGAACGATACAATTGTTCAACAGACACACCCAAGGTAAAAAAAAAAAAAGGAGCTGCAGCTACAGTGTGCTCCTTCCTGCTATATGCCCACATATTGGCTGTATTCTCACAACATGTTTAACTGGGTCAGTGTGATAGTAGCATGTTTTAATTAACTAGTAATCTAGTTATCAACTTAACTATCCCCAGAAGCAGAGATATACAACTTTAAACAGAGCCATGTTTGCATAGGGTATATTAACACACAACACCACATCTGCCATATTGTGCGAACTACTGGCTGTGGGTTAATTGGTCCTCTTGAGACTAGATCCTAATAAAAATAGATATTCCCTCTATTTTGGTTTTATACCCATCCATCCCTGATCCCTATCAGCCCTGTTGGAGGGCCTGAATAAATGGAGAAGGGGGCTGGATCCACTGGATTGGCTCCAAAACAAGCCCCACAGATACCTGGGAGATGAAATCTGAGGAGAACCCTCCTCCAACCAGCCCCATCATGATGGGTTTTGTTCCTTTCTTTTTAATTCCAACTCGCAAACAAGGGAAGAGAAGTGGACCAGGCTGAATGGCTTTGCTTTGGCAAGGATGGGGAACTGTAAAATGGGTGAAGGCAAGGAAACCTCCACTATCGTCAGCTTTACGGTGCCATTAAAAGGGGGCAAGAGCTTAGATCACGCAGTCGTCACCATCCTGATTTTTTGACACACACACATCAGATATTGTACATCTTCATGAAAAACCAGGAAGTCCAGCTGCTTCTTGAAAAAACCACCTGCAGGACAACCATGACCTGGAGGACTGAGAATCTTCTAATTTATGATATTCTAATATATGAATCTGGAGAGCGAAGGCTTCTTTTACTGCACAGCAGCTTTTCATTTATTTCTAATTTTAAAAAATATTTATAAACAACTTACTTCAAAGCGCTGGATGGCACGCATGCTTTCTCCCAACCCACACACATTTATATGCAAACTGTTGTAATTCAAATGTATTCAAAACATATTTTTGGCAACCACTGCCAACCCATTCCATCCAGGGCAAATAAAGACCCTATTAAACCAATCAAATGCATTGCATCTTCTCCAATCTGCTTCCATCAAAACAAAGTGCTTCCATGCCCTGTTTCAAAAGGGACTGCTAGCCCATCTTCAAGGGGCATTGAAGAAGCTGTGGTGGTGCAGTGGTCAGTATTACGGGCTAATTCAGCTCTCTGCCAGCAGTTCAATCCTGACTGGCTCCAGGTTGACTCAGCCTTCCCAAGTCGGTAAAATGAGGACCAAGCCATTTCCAAAATCAGTCTGTGTGTCTGTCTGTCTCTGTCTGTCTATTTGTCTGTCTGTCTGTCCATCTGTCCATCTGTCTGTATCTGTCTGTCTGTCTATTTATCTATTGTCTTGAACCTAACTTAGAGAGCGTGCATAAGCGCACCAACGTGCTTACCATCCCTGTCCTATTGTTTCTTTTTTTTTCTTATTTGTATCATTTTCAGGTATTCATAACCATGTTTATACTTACACCTGTTATCTAATAATCGCTTGACAAAATAAAATAAATAAAAAATAAATAAAAATAAATAGAACAATGGTTACAACAATATTAAGAACATGAATTGTAAAAATTAGGTGCAGTTTCCTAAATATTTTGTGTAACATTGTGCTGTTACAATGATTTGTAACAGCAAAGAAAAGTACAATATTCTATGTATGTTTGGATAAATAAAACTATTAATTTCCCTGTGAATTGCAACAAGCCAGTCTTGACTGAATTGCAAAAATGAGAAACAGGTTTATGATGAAAAACAACCACAGATTCCAAAGGAGTACATTTGTTAACAATCAAATAAAGAAAAGTTCAGAAAATGCAACTCACTAAAGTTTCCTTCAAATGAACTTGAAGGATGATACTATTAGAGAATATGATCCTGCGGCCACTGCGTTGTTGTTTTTTCTTTAATGCATAAGGAAAAAGGACCAATTGTGACTGTGACTGGGGTGGGGTGGGGGAGTTAAGAAGGGACTCAATTCTTCCAAGGCCTTTCTTTAAAAATTAGTAATAAAAAGACTTCCCATAACCAAAGGGGTTTAAGACGGAAGCAGGGGCATCTACAGTGGGCCAAGAAAGTTAAAATGGCAGCTCAGCAGCGCAATTGAAGCCCTGACCTTTTTCGTGGGGGTTGCATGTAAACTTCAATGTCTCAATTGTGACTGGCAACTATTTTGACCCCATCCTTGCCGACATTCCTACTCACCAAAAGGTTTCTCGAGGTTCCTTCTAGAGAGAAAGGTCCTCTTTGGAGGTCGTCATGCACTTTTGGACACCTTCAGTTGCTGTATCAGATTGGGTAGAACTTTGCATTATTCATCCCGATCCCAGGCTAGGAATACTTATATTAACCCTTTTTGCCGTTACATTATACACTTCTTTCCTTTCCCCAAATGTTAGACTTATCACAACGTACGTCTACTAAGAAACAGAGTAAAAACAGTCACAGGGCCTACCAGCCTGGGACTTAAGGTGGCTCACCAGAAATTGTAAGAGTTGGAAGGCACCTTGGAGATCTTCTAACCCAACTCTTTGCTCAAGCAAGGAGACCCTCTATCATTTTAGACAAATGGTTGTGCCAGTCCCTTCTTAAAAGCCTCCAGAGATGGAACAGCCACAACTTCTGAAGGCAAATGGTCCCACTGGTTGTTCTTCCTGTCCTTAGTTCTAGGTTGCTTCTCTCTTTGTTTCCAGCCATTGCTTCTTGTCTTGCATTCTGGTGCTTTGGAAAATGGGTTGACACCCCTCCCCCACATCTTTCAAATCATGGAATACTGCTATCATGTCACCCCCTATTCCTTCTTTCCACTAGACTGAGCATACCCAATTCCTCCATTCGTTTTAGTTTTCAGTCCCCCTAATCATCTTTGTTGCCCTTCTCTGCACTCATCCCGGAATCTCAACATCTTTTTAATATGATGGTGACCAAAATTAGATGCAATATTCCAAGTGTGGTCTTACCAAGGCAGTAGTATAAACTGGCAGTATAATGGATAGTATAAAAGGAATGCCGGCAGAAATACTTTTTTTAATGTCCTAAATCTGTTCTGATCTCTACAGGTTGCTTTCCGCGTGGATTTCGAGTTCAAAAAGTCAATCTTCCTCCAAAACCTGGAGATATTTTTGAATGCCAGCAGGTTAGTAATTATTTTTTTTAACTTCTTCTATTACCCGGTCCCGATCATTTGCTTTTTTCTCTCTCACTCACCCCTGTGCCTTCACCACCCACAAATTAGATTTCTTCCCCTGGCTTCATCTTTGTAACTGTTCCTGGTTTCCTCCTTCTGTGACAAGACAGCTGTCAACCATGCCCCCTCCTCAGGTGATTGTTTTTCTTTGCCATGAAAACACTCCTTGGAAACATGGGTGTCAAAAGTTTGGGAGGACAACAGGCCACCTTCCCTCTTCTGCCTGAAATTCTGATCAAGGCTAGACATCCTCAGGCCCCTGCAAACCCCAGTTCAGCAGATACATCAAAGAACAGCAAAGCTACATCTCAAGGACTAAAGTTAAAAAGAAAGTACTGCAAAGTAATTAGAAAGTTGTAGAACAGGATAACAGAGTTGGAAGGGACCTTGTAGGTCATCTAGCCCAAGCAGGAGACCCTGCACCATTTCTGACAATCCAGTCTCTTCTTGAAAGCCTCCAGTGATGAAGCTCCCACAACTTCTGAAAGCAACTTCTGTTCCATTGGCTGATTGTTCTCCCTGTCAGAAAATTCCTCCTTATTTCTAGGTTGATCAGTTTCCATCTATTATTCCTTGTCTGGCCTTGAGGTGCTTTGGAAAATAACCTGGATATATAGATTACTTCTTGAAATGCTCGGAAGTTAAAATTTATCCTGGGAAATGAGGAGTTTTTCCAGTTCCACTATAGAATACTGATATTGTACTGACTCCTGAGCAGTTCCCACAGGCTTAATTTTGCCTTTGGAAGTGTTTTCACATTAAATGGATTTGCTGGCAATAAATACTATTACAAACCCAAATGCATTGCTTGGAATGGCACTATTATGAAACAGAGTTCTAGTTTCTTTAAAAAAAATCATTCAGTTTACAAGCTCACGCAAGTGAAGTATTAGCTTTGCCATTCACCTAAAGGGAATTATAGTATGCTCTCCCTGGAAGTGTGAGATAACAATAGCACATAGAGTTATATACTGCTTTGTGATGCTTTACGGCCCTCTCTAAGCAGTTTACTGAGTCAGCCTCTTGCCCCCAATAATCTGCGTCCTCCTTTGACCCACCTCAGAAGGATGGAAGGCTGAGTCAACCTTGAGCTGGTCAGGATCAAACGCCTGGCTGTGGGCACAGTTAGCCTGCAATGCTGCATTGCAACCACCACGCTACTAGGGCTCTAATCATTGCATCCTAACCACTTGCGCCACCATAGCTGTTTGCAACCATCTCCCACTCCCAGACACAAACTCATATGTGGAAAATACTCAGCCAATGATATTCATAATGCCATGTTATCATTTGAAAGCAGCACAATAATATATGCAAATGGTTGCTACCAGTAAAACAAACCATGGGACTAAGGACTTGATGACCTCAGAGCTTCCTTCTAACTATTCTTAAGCAACAGGGATTTACAACGCTGAGAAATTTTTCCAACTTGGACAGTAGTTATCCTTTACTTGTATTCTACCTTTCAGGAATAAAAATATACAAGGGAAGTGAAGTATAAGGCTGAAGAAGGAGTTTTGCCCATCACTGCTAAAAGAAAGTGAATATTTATATCCAGTTTTGGCTGATCTGTTTCCATTTTTTTTTTCAAATTCTAGACATTATTTTTTTTCACACACCATAACCGAAGCTGGAAGAGGCCATGGCAAACCACCTCCATACTGTTGCCAAAAAAACATGTGTTAATGATGTCCCCAGAAGCTGCAGATTAGTTTTTAAACTTAATGCAATCTTCATGTCACTCTCACAGCACGCTTTTACTTCTAAGTGTCCCTCTTTCCTAATAAGAGGAAAAGTTGGTGTGTTTAAGTTGCAACTCTCTAGCTGCGTATCTTTAAAAAAAATAGCAACTCAAGCAAATTGCAGATGGAACAGATCCCAGGATAGTATCAAATCCATAATTCCAGCCAGTGGTGGAAAAAACACATTTTTCTCCTTGCTTCAGCTAGGAATGTTGACTCATATGAAGCAAAGATCAGCTTTGACATGTCTGTAATGCGCTTATTAAGCCAGTACAGCACTGGCAAGAGAAGGCGCTGTCTCCGGCCAAAATCACCAAGACTTCAGTTGACGGAAATTGCTTCCCTTGGGAAGGAGACCAGAGAAAATATAGGCATTAATTGCACAAAGGAAAAACTGAGCTGGGTGGGCATCTGTTTGTGAGTCTAACTGCTCATAGTAAAAGTCAGTGAGGTTCTATAAGGAGTCAGTGCCTCCCCTAGGAGATGGTAGCTATATCACTTTACGGCCAATCAGCATTGCACCTTTCTTGTGGGATGGTCTCTAAATAGATCTCTGGTTCCATCTCCACGTTCTAGTGACAGCGATGAACAAGAAACCACGAAAGAGGACAATTCTGCTCTCCTCAAATTTCAGCTGAAATATGAAACCGATCTCCTTTTCACCAGGTATTTCGGATATGTACAGAGTGAGTTTTGTGCTGCTATAATTCATCATTCTGGAAATGATGGCGTGTGTTCTATCTGTTCAGACCTTCTGAGCGATGGGATCAATTTTTATTTTGATTGGGTTCTCCTTTTTTTTTTTGCTGCTTTTCAGGAGTTCCAGCCAGAACTATTATGAGATCGAACCCAACAATTCTCTGCAGACATACGATAGAATTGGCCCACCATTTAATTGCACTTTTAAGGTAAATTCATTTTTGTTGTAAGCAACATATTGGGAAGGGGAGATGGATTCTTGTGGAAGAGGGTCACATGCTACTTTTTCCCTTCAGCTACAGAATCTGGGCCTCTTCCCTGTGGATGGGATAGTTATCAAAATCACAGTCCCGGTAGCCACACGAGGAGGGAATCGCCTTCTGCAGCTAACAGGCTTCCATGGACCAGAGGTATCCAGAGTTCCTACTAATTATTTTGGTGTTAAGAGAACCCCAAGAAATGAGCTTGAACAATCAATCCGATACCTCAAGAGAAAGCACATCATCTACCTAGCTAATGAATAAAGATGACAGTTAGGCATGGCATTTTTCTTCTCAGATGGGCACATGTCATTGTTTCCTTAATAATAGGCTGTCCTCCTGTTACAGTTTTCCCAGCCATTACATGCAGGTCAGTGAAAGACCAAGCACATTCGCACAACATGCCAGATATGGTTAGTTTTGATGTGTTTTTTTAGTTTTGTTTTGGGAGTTTTAGTGTATGTTTAGTGTGTTGTTTTTGTTGTGGTCCGCTGGCGGCCTGCAGAACTGGCAGCAGAGTCGGACAGTGTGAAGGACCATGAGCCAGTCCTGGAGTCTGGAGAGGACTTGGATGAGGAATCTGTGTCTGACACAGAGATGGGGCCAGGGCCATCTGGGAGTTATGCGCTGACTCCGGAGCCTCCAGAATCTGGCAGCAGCAAGGCAGAGGAACAGGGGTGCCTGTTCCCAGTGCGCGCTTGCGCAGAGCTGCCAGAAGGCAAGAACAGTTAAGGCAAAAGGGGTAACTCAAGAGTAAGGCTTGGAGATGATTGGCTCCTTCCATAAGACATAAAGGAAGAGCAAAGGGACAGGAGCCTTTGCAGGAAGCAACTTTGTACTTTCTGGTCAGTTTAAACTCTGAAACTCCCTGTTGACTTTGTGCTCCGTTTGGCCTTGTACAGCTAATTGGCAATTTAGTCGTTGGCAGGGAGATAAAGGTGGGTGCTTATCAGCCTTATCCCGAAAGACTACAGCAGACTTCTGTTGGACTATTCATAAACTGTTTGGGACTCATTACGGGCTGTTAATGCATATAATTCATAGCCATTGAAATAAAAACAAGGTTTTGGGGAACAGCGTGTGATTGTTACTGCCTCAGGAAACCTTGGTCAGAACAGCTTCATTTTATCATTCCAAGTAGTAAACACATTCAAAAATTAAGCCAATTCAGAACCAAATTTGTTGAGGTAATTCCCCGTTAGGAGAACGAGAGCATACAGGGAGACGTATTTGAGAGTAGTGTTTGAATGATACACACACAGCACACAGATACACTGTACAGTAAATGTAGGTTTTTACTTCCAGAAAGGTTTAAAGCAAAGTTCAAAATAAGCAGTCCAAAGTCAATCTTTTCTATGACCACTAACCCTCATAACTAGCCTGATTGTTTTTGAATGGTCTTCATGCTAACGGAGAGGAAATGCTGGTTTTTGGCACAGACTAGGATGCCCACAAAGTCCCTGCTGCTATTGTGGCTATGATCAGGCCAACGGACCTCCTCCATCTCCTTCCCTGAGGATCTCCTTCAATTACTGGTGCTTTGCCCAAATAGTTCGTAGACTTTCCCCCATAGAAGGGAAAGGTATTGAGATCACCTGATCTAATCTGCTGCCCAGGGATGCCCTACACCATCTTTGACAGGCAGCAGCCAGTCTCTGTTTAAAGCCACCACTCCATCTTGAGGCAGCTGTTTCTATTGTCTTATCAATTTGGAAATTCTTCATGGATTTCACTCAAAGTCTTCCTTGTAATTTAAACCACTTTTTCCTTGTTTGGTGTTTTGGAACAATTTGGAACAGTCCTGCCCCAAAGTGATGGGAGCCACTTCCAAAATCAATAGCGATCTGAAAATTGGGAAGAGAATACAGTAAATAAAATTTTTAAAAACAATGAAAACATGCAGTGTTGAAAGTTATAATTCCAGCAGCTGTCAGAGAAGGTCCAAACAGGAACTAGATGGAAGCAGTGAAATACTGTAGAAAACCGCTTAATGGCTCCCCTTTTCATGAGTTGGATTTTCTTGATTCTTCCCAATCGCTATACGAAACTAAAAGAGGTCCTCACATTCTATAGTATATTCCTTTGTACAAGCAGGACAGATGGAAAATATTAAGACCCCAAGAGAAGAGATCCAAGCGTTTTTGTGGCCAAAGTAGCATTTAACAGTGGATTGTAAAGAGTGTAATCACATTCTTCTGGAGTGATTGTGGATGGAATGTCTGCCTCCTTAAAGTCACAGCATTGGTTTTGCATATCCTCTTGAGGTCCAGGCCTCAAAATAAACCAAAGCATGATGTGTTTATTTGATGAATGACTCCTCTCTCCCTCTCCCTCTCTCTCTCATAGAATGGCATGGTCTGCAATATTGGGGGCAATAACACAGACTACCGAAGGACCCCCTCAGATGAGGATTTAGGCCGTCATCCCCAGCTGGTGAGCCCTTTCAGTATCACAACATGGTGGTGAAGGTTCTATGGCTGAGCACAGTTGTCTTGTGTCAGGCTGCACAACAAAGAGTAACCCTCTGAAACACCAACAACCAACTCTAGATCTTTGGAGAGCTGCAGAAGGAAAGGCACTCTCTCTGACTACTTTTCTATAGAGTAGAGATTGACATATCCATCTTCCAAGTTTCAATCACAGGAAGTATTTATCAGTGGCTGACCAATTCCCATGCTTCAGGGAGCAATCTCGAGTTCTGTCTTCCCATGTGCATTTTCCTATTTTTGGACCACAGTTAATCAAGGGAGCAGTCCAGCTTTGAAGAGCTTACCAGTGATGCTAATAAAATGATTTCTTGGGTAGTTCCCACCCTTCCCAGTTCAAAATTAGCTTCAGTGGTGTTTGGTATAAAACAAAACCCTTTCACCAGTCCTCTCATTTGAACATTTCTCAACAAGGAGCACAATATTTGTCCTTTAAAAAAAAGGCTACTCTCCCTCCAGACCCTCAGAGATTAGTAAGACTTCTCATCTAACTCTGTAGCAACTCATAACATGTGAATGTCTGCATCTATCTGCTGGAATTTGGCAAGGTTAATCCAAGACAAGGAGAAAATACTGAATAAGTTATAGAATCTAACGCGTAACTGGCACATACACCTCTATACTGTACATATGTGTGAAAAATAACATGGTGAAGATCCTAGACTAGGAATGGAAAGGCCCAGGTTCAGTTTCCTCCTCAACCTTAGAAGCTCCTTGGAAGACTTTGGGCCAGTCATTCTCTCCAGCCTGGTAGATGAGGGTCCATAATCTTCACTGATGAGGCCTTTCTTACAGTGGATTGATTCAAGCTGATCGTTTATACATATATACCGTTCACGTATAAAAGTTAACATTGGCTTGATTTTATCTACGCAGCTTTTCTATGCATACAAAGTTCATCCCATTTGGTTAAAAAATACTAAACAAATACAACTGTTTGGAGAGTCAGATGCAAATCAATTTACCAGAAACTGAGGTTCCTAGCTGAATCAGATAGCGTCATATATGACCTCTTTTTGGGCAGGAGCATTGCAAAATATTCCTCACTCCTCAGCCCATTTGCCAGATCATTAGTACTTTATGGCTAAGATTATGCAACATATAAAATCATCAACATGGCACCATTTAGGTACCTCATGCTGATGCATTCTACACTGGCTGAAGTTTCTGAATGCTCTTCAAGGGTAGACCCATGTATAGTGCATGTAGTAGCCCAGACAAGAGGTGACAAGGGCATGAGTGATAGCAGGACCCCTCCCACTACCCATCTAGGAGCAGACGTAGCTGGCACACAGCCTGAAGGTATGCAAAGGCCTCCCTATATACAGTTGTCACTTGGTCTTCAAGCAGGACCCCCCCAAGATTATGCATTATGTCTGACTGAGATGGTGCCCCCCTCCATCCAAGACCTACGATGGAAGGTTCCCAGACCAGAAAGTCCACTCCTAGAGCCTCTCCATCTTGCCTAGATTGACCCAAAGCCCGTTGCACCGTATCCATCACCCCACAACCTCCAGACACTGGGACAACCCATAGCATCACTCAGGCAACCGAGGGGGAGATTAAAGCTGCCTATCATCTATATATTGGTGATACTTTATCCCAAATTGTCAGCTGACCTCACCCAGCAGCCTCATGTAGATGGCCTCAGGCAGATGTTTAAATGAGTTCATGCAGCCATTTTGAAGGAAATTCTATCAATCAAAGAACTTCCAGGTTAAAGGGGGGAAATGGCCCAATATCTTACATTTCACCAAACCTCCCTTGTCTTTTTGTTCCAGAACTACAGTAATTCTGATGTGATTTCAATCGACTGCAGTGTGAATCTGGCTGCCAATGAAGAAGTCAGCTTCCTCTTATATGGAAATTTGTGGATGAGGACCCTAAGAATGGTAGGGTCAAGATGCAAATTGTCATCTTTCTAAGAGCCAACGCAAGCAATAAATGTTTGGTCCTGCTCTGGTGTTTCTTCAGTGGTGGGATTAAAAAAATTTCACTACTGATTATGTGGGTGCAGCTTGGTGGGCGTGGCATGACTTGGTGGGCGTAGCTTAGTAGGCATGGCAAAGGAAGGATACTGCAAAATCCTATTCACGCCACACCCCACTAACCTGCTTTCCAGCTCCGTTCTCCTGTGCAGGGCAACCAAAGGAGACCCAGCCGATCAGCTGGGACTCGATGGGAGGCAGAGAAGAGATGGGTGGGGCCAGTCACAGGTGGGATTGGCCAGTTCTCGGAACTACTCAAAATTTCCGCTACCAGTTCTCTCCAGAACTGGTCGGAACCGTCTGAATGCCACCTCCTGCGTTTCTTCCTACGGGTGGGGCGATGGTCCGATTTTTACCTTCCGCACTAACTTGGCTTTCAGTGGCAATAATAGTTATCCCAAAGCAAGCGTTCTTAGCCCACCTGGGGAAGAAAAGTTTCCAGAGCCCGCATTAGTTACTGGCTAACTGCAAAGAGAGAATGTGGTCCTACCAGGAGCAGCTGGGATTTAAGATGAACATAAAACTTCAAGGAAATTTTAAAAGAGATTATATTTCAAAGAAACAAATGCGTGATTCTCTACCGTTAAAAAAAATTAATAGGGTAAACATGGAAGCAGTATTGAAATTGGCAAGAAAGTAGCTAGAAAGTCTCACTTTCTAGGGGTCCCTAGAGGTCCCATTTCTCAGATTTTATGTTTCTCCAATCGCGGGATACCCCTTTTCCTGCCTTTCCCTACCTGCCAAGTCACAATCCCTCTATAACTTGGGTGTCCAACTTGCAGCATCATGGCAGTGTCATGTGACATATCGGGACTTTTTTCCTCCTTTGCTAAACTGGCCATGCGCATGGCCAGCGTGTGAGGCATCCAGCCAGCGGGCCGGGAGTTTGACAGCCCTGCTCTGTAACCAAGGACACATCAGACCACATTGAGAGTCTAGGAAGGAATTATGAAGAGAAGACAGGCTATTTTTCGGCCTTCCTTTGTGTCAGGAGGCAGAATTCTTCTGGATGTGATCAGTGCATTGATCCAAAAGAGCATCCTAGCCTCTGTAGGCCATCATTGATGAGAGTGAATCAATTCTGACTAAACTAGGTGACCTGTCTCCCTATTAGAACATGTTCACACAAGGCTCTAAGCAATGGTTTGTTGATTTGGGTCAGTATATTGTGTGAACTTCATATTTATGGTTTCTTCCATCAAGCTATAGTTAAAATCAAACATGGCTTAGCATCATGTGTGAAGAGAGCCAATGATTCTCTCCTGTCTGTCCAGCTGAAATTCAAGACCTTGAGATTCATCTTCAATGCTGCCTTGCAGAGGGGGTTTCGGAGCGCCTTTGTCTTCAAAGAGGAGGATCCCAGTCGCCAGGTAAGTCGGTAGATCACAGGTCCTCTTCTCACTTGCTCCTGTCAACTTGACTCTTGGGAGTTCATAATCACCTGAAGAGGCTAAGGGAAACTGAAGCTCGCCTTTGGGATTATAGGCATCTGTGGACTCTAGTTTTCACATTTCTTCTGATCCTGATACGGTATGTCTTTCCAGGCCACCCAGAGAGGAAGAGACAAAAACGTCAAGACAGCAGCCACCCTCCCGCAGTCAAAAAACTGCCTCTTTTTTTGAATTATGCCATAATATGTGTAAAAGTGGGGGCAGGGCTTTGACAAAGGGCTTGTGGGTGAATTGTTTGACCCCCTTCTGGACACCCCTGACCAGTCTAAATGCTCCTCTCTACACTATCGCTCTCTTATCGAATTCAGTGGTGTAACTCATCTTGCTATTGATGAGTTTAATATGCATTCACTTCTAACTTCATGCCCTTTGGAGAAACTTGGCTTCAGCTGTCATTCGGGCATTAATAACAGCAGCCAAGTTATGTCTTAACGCGGTGAGGCTTACAAGTCTTTCTATTATTGATAATAACAATCTTGTCATTATTAACGAGAAAAAATTCAAGTGGAATAATAGCATTACTTAATAAGCTTCCTTGAAAGGTTCTGAGTCCAAACAGCTGGATACAAAGTTCATAACAAATTCATAAATTGTGGCAGGAATTGTAGCACGTTATAATCTGCATGAAGGACTAGAATAAAACTGATGAATGTTTCAGCCATCCATCAGCTGCGTATCCCCAGTGGGTGTGGTTTGAACTTTAACTGCCACAGTAATGTGAATGCGTCATTGGTGTGGAAGTTCAAAACCCCTCGAGGACAATGTGTTGCCAACCTTTAACCAAACTAATAGGCTGCGTGTTCTCATGTTGAGGAGCACCTCATTTTAGAAATGAAGAATTACTTAAGGGAGAGCAGTGGTTTTGAACAAAAGTACATTTTTAATTCTGAAAACAGAGTGGAACTTTGCATCCTATTGCACATATTTTAACTTCCCTTTCTGGGGTTTGAGCTAGTTTAGGAATGAATGGCCACCATGACAATCAGGGGCATCTCCCAGGTCATCATTGCCTGATCATTGCCTGATCAACAACACCTTTCCTCAAAGCAGAAGAGATATGGTATTGTTTGGGGAAGACCTGTCCATGGACCAGTCATTTATTCATGAGGATGGATTGAATCAGGACGGTCAAAGCATCCGGGAAGGCTGGTGGCTCATTAACACGGTACCTGCAGATACCAGATTGAACTGGAGGGTTTCTGGTTAGCCCTTCAGGAATTTCCAAACAATCGGGAACTCTGTTGATCAATCTCTGATCAGTGGAAGTGACCTGGATATTTGATAGGGTTGCCTGAGTAACCTTTAATCCCTCCCATTGATCGCTGGCAACTCTTTGCTTTTCTGAGGAATTGAAAATGAAGCAAACGAAGATCCCTAGAGTGAGGTTGTCGGAAAATGAGGTTGCATCTGAGGCATATGAATCAATCTGAGGTCGAATCAACTCTTTCTCGCGATCAGAGCGTTGAAGCGTAACTCCACCCTTATGACATCTGCAGGAGACTGTCAGCCAGCTTCATGGTTCATCGCAACCCAGGCCCTGTTAAGTAATGGTAGCTTGGGACAGCCAGTAACAGTAATGTGCAGACATCTGGCCAGTAATCTCATAGATTAAATCACTCATACTTTTTTTCAAAATGAAAGCTGGATCAGCAGGATTATGAGGTGACACAGGAGGACACATCTAGCAACCTTAACTGAGCCTTAGGATCCCGAGGCGGTAAATTTCTTTGGGGCATAAATTCCATCACTTGTGAACTTGACTGCTAATCCTCCTGGTTAAGGGATCAAGAAGGCAACAGTGACTGGATTTGAGCAATGTATTTTTCAGGAAGGGAGATGTTCCGGCAATCTTAAAAGGCAATCCAGCAATTACTAGTGTATATCCAACTTTTCTTTTTGGAAGAACATTGATAAAACAGCGAGCGGCAACTTCTCAATCCTCTGAGATAAAGTCAGGAAACAGGAGCTGCTAGTAGTCTTGAAAAATAGTTTCGCAAGGTACTCAATATTGGATTAAAATCTTGAAAGTCTGTCAGTACGGCCCCACTTATATCTAACCTAATCAAGGTGGAGTTGTCTGAATTTCTTTTTCAATTTCTGCTTCCTACTACCCCAGGATTGAAATATTGTTGTTGTTGTGACTTTCCACATTCTCCTGATGTTCTATCACACAATTACAGAGGAAGAAGTAGGTTGTCTGGATCCTTGGCACTTAGGATTTAGGCCTAAAGAAGGAGGCAGTCTGCAGTTCTCACTCTCACTCATGGTGGAACATGGAGGGAAAGTGGGAACACAGCTATCCTTCTGCTGCTGAATCTTTCAGTGGCCTTTGGTATCGGTCAACCGGGGTCCTTCTTGTCGTCCTGTGAGGGTTGGAAGTGAGAGACAACCTTTTGTGGTTTTGTTTCTTCCTGAATGGGCAAGTCTGGGTCAGTGGTCTCAGCTGGAAGAACAAACCCATGGGAATTCCACTATGGGTAACTAAGGGCTTAGCCTTTCCCTCCAGTTTGTTTCTTTGGGGCTTAGATATCTCAGAGGCCACATATTCCAGTATGTTTTGTTTGCCAGAACTGGGAGAATAGAGTTAATAGCTTAAGTTCCCTCCCATCAGTGGGAAGAAGCAGAGAAATAGGAAAACTAAAGCAGTTTGTCCCTTACACAAAAGTTATTCCCCCTCTCGTGCCTTTCCAAGAAGTTGATAAACCAGAAATCCTTTATAGACCGAAATAGCTGGAACAGTTGCTGTTATGGCTTTATCTATTTGCCTATATCCACTGCAGAACTCAAGTCCTTCTTTCTTGTTTACCAACCACCTTTAACCACCTCAGACGGAGCAGGAGCGCCCCCTTCTGAGCAGTTGTGGCTCAGCCGCAACCACCAACAGAAGAGGCCGCCTTGTTTTTGCAGTCCATCCGTAGGAGGACTCACCTGCCGTTCCTATTTGACCTCCTGGGCCTTCCAAAAGAGTCGACACTGGAAGAGTTCCAGGTTACGTCTCACTATTCTTTTTCCCCTTGTAGATTGCATTTGAGATCTCCAAAGTCGAAGAGTCCCACGTCCCCATCTGGATCATAATTGGGAGCACGCTAGGTGGTTTCCTGCTGCTGGCACTCCTAGTGCTGGCCCTTTGGAAGGTAAGCCATTCTGCAGCGCCCCCCACCCTGCCCCCCAGGGTAGGCATGGATGTATTAGGATGGGCTCATCATCGGGAACACTTCTCCAACTTTAAGTAAGCTCCCATCGGAATGGCACACTTCAGAGGCAGGGATTAATCGGGGCCAGACTTTTCCATGCAACAAAAGGAAAGACAGTTCTTGTTTATGGTCTTCCTATAATTCATTATGGCTGCTTTTTTACTTTAATGGAGGTTTTATATACTGTATAACGGGTAGAAAATCAGGTGGGTTTTTTGCCCTTTTTTCTTCATGATTTAATATTTGAAATGTTTTGAAATTTTTCATACCATTCTTTAAGCAAAAGTGAAAAGTTAACGTAACCTGTGTTAGGTAAATTACAGTTAAATTCTTTGGCATGCCGTTTCAGTGATTTGTTTGCTAAACAACTGAAAGCTTTCGAGTTGGCCAACTCAGTCAAGGCATGAGATTCACAGACGATTTTCTGCTTTGTCTTCTATCTCTTTAGCTTGGTTTTTTTCAAAGCACCACCCGCAAGAGAGATGCAAGCCAGGATCAGACCGCCAAAGATTTGGACTAAGGTTTCCATGGTCCTGAGCATATAGGCCTGGATTTTGTTCTTCTTTCTCACAAACAAGTTTACTTTGCTGCATAGCCAGCCTTCGTTTGCCTTGATCAGTTTCCCTGTTAGCTGAAAGTAACCCAGTTGCTCAGTGTCATCCTGCAAAGGAGAAGCCTCCACCAGCAAGGACTTCAAACTGGTTTTGTTTCCTTCTGCCTAAGACACTGGAACTATACAATAAGGACGGGGAGAGAGTAGACCCACAAGGAGCAGCTTCCTCTTTAAAATGACCTACTTGGGCCATAAAGCTGATGGAAAAGAGGCCAGAAGACTCTTCGAAGACCCTCTAACAATCCTTTACATGTCCACGGCATGCGCAAAATTGTTTGGGAGGATAATATGCTTTTCGGTCTGCATTTTCAGAGGGAGGAAAAACTTTGCTCTAAAATAAAAAGAAGTGCAAAGTCTAAGATTCACAGGGATACTTGACCTTTCGCATTCAAGCTGCCAAGGACAAACAGGCCAGGCAGAAGCCTCTGCAGTGCACTTCCTTAAAAACAAGTCACGTTGCTACGATAAAATGGCGTTTTATTCCAGATTACTTAGGGACTTATAAATCTTTATGGACAAAAATTGATGCTTTCAAATCAGATCTGCATAGCTGCTGAGCGCAAATTGGGATCACTAAAGCTAAGTGGATATTAATTTGCAGACGGGCACAAGGAGCACACGTTTGCGGTCAGGTATCTGAAGAGCAAAAAAAATGGATAGAGATGACCCGTAATCATGTTACCAGATTATATGTGCAAGTGTACCAGTAAAACCAGGCGCCCGATGGTTCTGAAGGCGATGATACAATGCAGTGGGTGCTGCTTTGGCGTACAGGATCCTCTTTATTCTCAAAGCAAGGAGTACAGAAATGCTCATGAAGAGAAGCCACCAGCTTTCTTTTTTTTTTCTTCAGTTTTTGTGTGTGGAGATTTTCTTTTTATATGCACTGAACAAATACCCATCATTCTAAGCACCTTAATGCAAATCTTCAATCCTCAGCTGTATATACTTATTTAGAAAATGTTTAACTTTCTTACTTTTAAGGTGACTTTAAGAAAACCAGTTTGAAGAATTTTCCCCAAGTTGTGCAATTTCCAAAATCAACGAGTGAGGAAAATTGTAGTATATGTATATACTTCTGTATATTGGAAAGGGTTTAATTGACTATTTTTCTTCTTTTGCATATACTTATTTATGCCAGTGTTAATATTGATAAGTGAGAACAAGACATTGGTTCAGCTGAATTCAGTAACGTAAAATGTATCACTAGGGTTTTTTTTTAAGAAGGGGGGGGGAGTAAAAGTTTTAAAATGTTTAAATATTCTTTGCCTACACCCAGTTTTAATGCAGTATAAATATAACTTTCCCATTGGATGAGTATTACATACTCTGCTATGACATTCAATGGAAGAATCTGGTTACTCAACCAGTTAAGAGTTGTGAGCTGTAGCTGAACAACCGGAAGCCCTCAAAAGCCACAAGTTTTCTTAATGTGAAAAAGAAAAGTGGGGGCTATTATGTGATGGAAAATAGTCCTGTTAATGGCAATGAATTTCACATTTCATTCAAATCAACATTAGTTTTCTATCCACTTTGGGGCTTGAGGCATAAAAAAAAATCAAACGGACCCTGGACTGACCCTCTCAAAAATCTACTCCCTCCTATCAGGACATTTTAGTGATGAAGTGAGGCTGTTGCTTTCACAGATTGTGGTGTAGAAGCAGACAGGAAGACTCTTTAGAAGAGGAAAACAAAATGGACTCTTAAGATCCACTGTTGTGATTCTGCTTTTTAAATTCGCTTTGTGAAGAAGCTGGTAGTTTTCCTTCAAGACAACCTAGAAATATTTCAAATAAATTCCATTTGGATAGATATTCTGCCCACATTCTGGATTGTATACTTGAATACTGTTTATTTCTGCCATGCTGTTTCTCATTCTTCAGCCAGGTAGGTTTTTGGTCCTTCGATTGTTGGAATATTTTAAGCCTGAACAAGCAACTGCCTTAAAAGCCTTCATTTTACGCCAAAATCCCACTCTTGGCTTTAGGCTGGAGTGGTAGGGAATCCCCCTCTCCGTTTGTTTTCCACCACCACCCCCCATAAAACATAGCTACAAGTGGAGGAAATCTTAAAAACCGATTGTTTGCCAAGTGGAAACCTAAAAAAAATAAACCCTTGATATCATTATGCAATCGTATTCTATTGAAGCACATGCAAACAAACTGGGCTTATCTCGCATCTGCACAGACTAGCAATACTTTTCCAGCGTGAGGGACTCCTTCCATCAAGTGGGAGAAGTGTTGCAGAGGGATGAGCAGACCCCTGAAAGCAATTTCCCTCATTATTTTTTTGCAAGGCCAATCCGATGTACCTTTGATTCACCTTCCAGTGATGGGCCAAGCCATAGGGAAACCTTGTCTCTAGAGACTCTCGGGTCACGGTTGTCCCAAAGGCGCTTATTCAAAGGCAACTGGGCTTTGTTGGTATTCCTTTAAGATGTTTCCCTTCTCAGAACTGAAGAAGCTTCATGGATGAGAAGGGAAATATCTTCAAGGAAAATCAAAGGCAGGCCAGTGGGAACTTTTTGTCCTGTTTACAGTGATTCTTTTCAGCTTCCAAGGAGATGGACTAAGGATGCTTCCGGTTGGTCAGACTGGTCAGGCCAGGATTGTTCCCCAGGGTTATAGGCCACCGCGGCATCCTTAAGTGATCCCTGTATTCCTGCTTATTCAAAAGAGGCACCAGCAATATCGCCTCCTCTCTGAACCCTTAAGGAGAAGCAATTAGGAGAGTGGGGGCCTCAAAGCATCTGAATGAAACTAATTATCCGGAGATTTCGATGGGGGGCTTCACTCAAGGTATGGTACTGGGACTGTTTCGGTAGTCCTTGGTGAATTACCTACCGGATGCCAGAACTAGAACTTCTCTTGTCAGTTAGCAATCTTGAACGTTACTTAAATTCATCCATAAGCATGCTGAGGAAGGATAAGCAGCAATTAAATCCAGACAGAGCAGAGGTGCTATTAGTAAGGGGGGAAAAAAAAACAGATACAGTTTTTGCTTGCCGCGCTCTTCCTGAAAGGATTGTAATTTGGGAATGCTCCTTGACCCCCTAAAGTGATCCTGGATTTGCAAGCGAGAGCACATTTTCAATAAGCAAAACGCGGCAATGAAGTTGTTGAGGTTGTTGAATTTAAGTAACGTTCAAGATTGACTGGGACAAGGTGCAAGGATCACATAGTCACAGGCTGAGAAATCAACACTGGGGATTACTGAACACACCTTTTAAAAAGCAACTTTGAGGGTGTCACCTAATTATGTAGGTCAGCAGAAGGCCCGGTGCCGAAGAGTCCTTCTTCCCTTGCATGGCCCCAGTCTGAAGAAGGAACTCCAAGAAGTTGAATTCAACCCCAATTCTCGACTGCTAAAAGGGCAGAAGCCACTCCATTTCAGCAAGCTTTTCAATCTTCTATTTTACCACCGATTTAGATTTTGCCTTGGATTTTAACTGCATTGTTTACAACTGTATCTTCAACTGATGTAAGCCATTTTAAATGTGGTAGGAAGCAATAAATCAATATTTTGCTAGTTCCTACTGACCTCACAGCAGCTCACAACATACATACGATAGAATGGGAGTCCTCATGTTGTCTTTTGGTTCAATGCTATCTTAATGTAGAGAAGGGAGAAGGAATCTCAAGACACTGCCAAAATTGAATGGTGGCTGATCCAGAGCAAACCACAAAGTACTTCTTTACCCAAAATCCTGCTTTACTTGCTTGCAAAATGCTGATGATACTAAACTGGCAGGGATAGCTAACACCCAAGAAGATAGGCTCAAGATCCAGATGGATCGTGACTGACTTAAAACACTGGGCCATATTTAACAAAATGAAATTCAACGTAGAGAAAAGTAAAGTCTTACATTTAGGCAAGAAACACCAAAAGGACACATATAGACTGGGTGAAACCAGACTTAATAGCAGTAACTGCGAGAGGGATCTTGGTGTCTTAGTGGACAACCAGCTAAATATGAGCCAGCAGTATGCAGCGACAGCCCAAAAAGCTAATGCAATCCTAGCTTGCATTAACAGAGGGATGCAATCAAGATCATGGGAGTACTAATATCACTCAATAAAGCCTTAGTAAGACCACACCTAGAGTACTGCAACCAGTTTTGGTCACCACACTATAAAAAAGATGTTGAGACTCTAGAAAGAGTGCAGAGAAGAGCAACCAGGATGAGGAGGGGACTGGAAGCTCTAAAACCGTGATGGTGAACCTGTGGCACATAGGTCCCATAGCCCTTTGTGCCAGCACGTGAGCCGCAGGCAAACTTACCTTACTGCGCATGCGCGCGCCTCACAACTGATTTTTGGCTGGTTTGAGGCCTTTTTTGGCCTCCCAGGGGCTTGAAAAAAGCCTCTGCAGGCTGAATAGGCCTGTTTTGTCACTTCCTGTGATACCGGAAGTGACAAAACGGGCCTATTCGGCCTGCAGAGTCTTTTTTCAAGCTTCTGGAAGGCCGTAAAAGGCCTCAAACCAGCCAATAATCAGCTGTGAGGCACAGTGCAGGTAAGGGTGCGGGGGGGCATGGCAGGGAGGGATTGCAGGTGCATGCACAGGGTGGGAACGCATTGCCTTCTGGGTGCAGGCATGTGAGCGCACGTGCGCCAGCGCGCACACAATTTTTGGCACAGGAGCTCAAAAAAGTGCTAGCCACCACTGCTCTAAAACATATGAAGAACGGTTGCAGGAACTGGGCATGGCTCGTCTAATGAAGAGAAGGACCAGGGGAGACAGGAGAGCATCTTCCAATATTTGAGGGGCTGCCCCAGAGAGGAGGAGGGGGTCAAGCTATTCTCCAAGGCACCTGAAGGCCAGACAAGGAATAATGGATGGAAACTGACCAAGGAGAGATTCAACCTGGAAATAAGGAGGAATTTTCTGACAGGGAGAACAATCAACCCATGGAACAGAAGTTGCCCTCGGAAGTTGTGGGAGCTTCATCCCTGCAAGCTTTCAAGAAGAGACTGGACAGCCATATATCAGAAATGGTATAGGCCAGGGTTTCCTGCTTGGGCAGGGGGTTGGACTAGATGACCTACCAGGTCCCTTCCAACTCTGTTGTTCTGTTCTATTCTAAAATGGATTAGATATGTAATGGATTAGATTGCAATATACTCTTCAGATGAAAACAAGCAAAACATCTCTTTGTATTAAGACGCTGGGAATCAACAACAGGAAAACACTTTCCTCCTATGGCAACAATGTGCCCCTTACATGTTCTGTTTTAGAAAGACATATAAAATATTCCTGAAACAAAGAGCAGTCTATAGTTGATTTTCCTGTGGAACTGAAGGGCAAAGGATATCGGCCATCTGAATTTTAGCTCACACAAAGTTCATTGCTTGTACCGCTATTTTCCAAATCTAATCTGTTCGATGAAATTTCTTGGGAGAACCCTTGGTATTATGTTCGTTCCAAACCTTTTACTTGTGCTTAATAGAAACACCATAATTACACAGTTAATTAAATTAGACCAAAATAAAAAATAACCATGTATATTTTTTATAAAAATTTAACCCAGTTTTCATCGTTCAAAATAAATTCCACGGCTAGGTCTTCCAAGGCACACTATAAAAAGTAGGACCGCACATTGACAGTTTTCACATCATTATGGCTTCGAAGAACCGAACTTTCCGAGCTGCTGAACCAGCTAATACACAACCAAGAAACTCCAGCATGAGGACAAGCCAACAAATCCATTCTATTTCACATCATTTGATTATGTGTGATTATTTGTTTCAAGCATCATTCGGTAAACTACAATGGCACGTTTCAAAAACAATACTGTAATTTGTAAGTAATAATCATTGCTTTCATTAAAAAAAAAAACACAGCCGAAAGCAAAGGAATAGTTTATCATTGAATTCTAGAGTTGGAAGAGGACATTGAAGCCCAAACCCTGCTCCATCTACTGGGTGTTCTTCAAAATAGCATTTCCCTCCCTGGGATTAAACATACACTTGCCATTCTTAAAACACTTTAGTGGCTTACAAGACAATTGTTAAATGGTGGATTCACAGGGAAGAAGGCAGGCACAACAATCCAAAATGGAGGCAATGCATGTTTTTTACAATATTTTGCATCTATTTGAAAAAAAGGAAGTTTATAGCCAAAGGGCAGAATCCACTTCCCCCTGGTGTCCTTTACTGGTGCCCTTACTGGTGTCAAAGAGACAGCAGTAACAGATCATCTTTGCAACGTGATAAATTAGAATTAAGACCTGGTTTTCACATTCAAGGTTTTTATTTGTAGTACAAACACATACACCTGTGCCCAGAATGTCTTTCCCCGAATAGAACTGACCCATTTTTTAAAAAATGACAGGAGACCATTCTTCCACATTTTGACAAAGTGACATTTAAAATAATGGCATGTGCTTCCAAAAACCTGTAAAAACTCTTGCTATAGGCTGCTGACGTTTCGGCTAAAGAGATGCTTTTCCCAGGTCAAACATTTTTTTCACACAATCAAGTTACTACAGAGAATTAACAAGATGGCCTTGGGAAGGAGGCATTTCGGGGCGAGAGGATCCTAAATGGAGCCATGATCAATAGACTGAAAACTCAACATTATTTTCAGGGCAGGACAATGTCAATTATTCTTCCCTGATCCTTCCTGCTACAATTTTTAAATATTATTTCTAAAAAAATATGAGCTCATCTTTTGCAAAAAAAAAAAAAAAAAAAACCAAAACCCTTGCTTGCCAGATAGTTGGAAGATAGTAAGAAAACGCATCTCAGATAAAATTCTAGGTGAGGGGCCTATCCAAAACCACCGCGCTTATCCATCCACACATAAATACCCACAGCATTTTTGCTCGACTGAAAAAATACTTCTGCATAAAGAACTGAGTTGGAAGAGTTGTGTCAATATTCTTTTTTCTTCTAAGAATCAATGAAAAATATACTATCAACAAGCCCGTTCTCTTGTCTGAATTTCTGTCTCACGGGAAAT